GCGTTAGACCCAGCATGAAAATATTGACTGATCTGCTGCAAACAGTACCTCCGACTTCCCCGCAGCCTTGTGGGTGCTTCCTCTGGCTTATGATGAACGCCTGTCCAATCTGTTCCTCAAAAGTCACTGGGGGGGTTCTTTCCCCTTCTCATTGCCCTTCATAAAAAGCAGCCTGTTTCTCAAAATCATAAAGCAAAGCGCTTTCTAGGCTGTTTCATTTGGACTGCTACCCTTTGGATCACAAAGCAAAATGGGAGTCTGCAGTGGAGGGGGGAAGCTGGCAAAGTTGCTCCCCTCCCCTCTTTGCAGTTAGGATCTGAGCTACAGTTTGGCGCCTTCCAAAAATGAAAATGACACAGAATTGTGTGCGAACTTTTTGAGTTCTCCACACTCGCTTTCACATTGGATATTAAAGGGTGTGTGTGTGTGCACGCGTGTTGTGAATCTGGCCTCTCAGTTCATGCTTGGCCATGGATGCTCAGCATTTGTTTGCTTTAAAATTTACTCACAGTTATCCTAATTAGAACATGGGCAGGGTGTGAAAACACTCCTCCATACAAATTGTGTGAATCACCAGTCGGAGTCTTATTTCTTGCGTTTTAACCAGCGGGTCTGGAAACTGCCTAGATTGAAAGGCCAATGGTGCCATCTAGTGGACACAAGGTGATATTGCTGATTTGGGTTTACTTGTTGAGTGATCTTGTCTGCATTTTTAACCGCTTAAAGACACCACAGTCTTCGGCTTGCAAGGCCTGAGCAAGGTCCTCAAGTATAGGCCATTTTGGAGGTCTTTAATTCATAGGGTTGCCATAAGTCAGACGTGACTTGAGCACACATGCAGAAGGTCCCAGGTTCAATCTTTGACATCTCCTGTCAGGCCCGTTGTCACAGAGGGGCGTTTCGGGACCCAGCCCCCTGACTTCCTACCAAGGCCCCCTGCTGCCCCTGCCCCAAGTGCGGCTTGCTTACCCAGCCCCTCACCCTGTTACTGCCGTAGCCCCTTGCCCTGCCACGGGAGGCCTCCGTGGCTGAGTGGCTGCCTACTCCAATGGCTCTTGCCTGTTCCAACAGCCAAGAATGAGTTTTTAAATTTTAATTTTTAAAATTTTTGTGACATCAGTGCCCCCCAACTTATTTAAAGCCCCCCAGAATGACAGAATCCTGGCTACGGGCCCATCTCCAGTTCAAAGGACCAGGTAGGAGGCAGTGTTCCCTCTAAGCTGAGTGAGTGTGAGCTAGCTCACAGGTTTTTCGGCTCCAGCTCACACATTTTTCTCTTAGCTCAGGAAGGAGGGCTCCAGAGCAGACTACTTTGTGCAGGAGCTAAATCACTCGCTCACAACTTTGCCAGTAGCTCAATAAGTAGAATTTTTGCTCACAAGATTGCACAGCTTAGAGGGAACATTGGTAGGAGGTGATGGGAAAGACCTCTGCCTGGGACCCTGGTGGAGAGCCACTCCCTTGCTCAAAAGCCAGTCGAGTCCGACTCTAGGGTTGTGGTGCTCATCTCCGTTTCAAAGCCAAAGAGCCAGCGCTGTCCGAAGACATTTCCGTGGTCATGTGGCCGGCATGACTAAACACCAAGGCGCACGGAACGCTGTTCCCTTCCCACTGAAGCGGTACCTATTTATCTACTTGCAATTTCTTGCTTCCGAATGGCTAGGTTGGCAGGAGCTGGAACTAGAGATGGGAGCTCACTCTGTCATGCGGCACCCGGGTCTCGAACTGCTGAACTACCGACCTTCCACAGCCTGCAGTTCAGCGTCTTAACCACTTGAGCCACCGCAGCTCTAAGTAGACAGTACTAATCTTGATGGACCCAGGCAGCTTCATGTAACCCTTACTAGGTACAGTGCCTGGCAGTGGTCGATGGTGCCTTGTATGGATCCCATTGTGTAACCTGTGATAGAGGTCAGTCTCAAGAATCCAGCTCTCGCAGCCAACCAAAGGGCACTCGCGCCAGAATACGACCCATGCGTGTAGCATAATGGGAGCCATGCAAGAATGGCTGTGCCTGCTCCCATCTGTCTTGCCCCAGACGAATGAGGCTACTTTTGGCTGGCTTAGTGCTAGGGCATCTACACGGCATGCAGAAGGTCCCAGGTTCAAGCCCCAGCATCTCCAGTTAAAAGGATCGGGCTGGTCCGTCCTGTGAAATGCCTCCACCAGAGACCAGATTGCTACCGGCAGCCAGAGTAGGCAATAGTGATTTCAATAGATGGAGGGACTGGCTTTCAGCAGTAGTAGTCCAGGCCAAACCAGCCAATCCCCCAGAAGCAGCCAGCCACTGTCTCCATAGATGGGCGCATTGGGCTTTTGACAGGGGCCATCGTTTTATTCAGTTATTTCTTGCAGCAAAAAGGTACCTCTGTCACAACCACGTACCCAAATGAGGAGGGGGAGGCAGGAACTCTACTCAGTAACCAGTAAACAGAACAGCAAACCCCATAACTCAGATTAATTATGCATAACGCCAGGAGCACAGCAAAAGGTTGCCATCGAACGCAGTTCCCCCTACGGGGGCAGGGGCAGAGGAAGGGTGTGTTTCCAGGAGCCAGCAGGCACTTCAAATTCTGTCTCTGGGTTGTTTTGAAAGTGATCTTTGCATGACTTGGGGGCAGTGGGGGTCATGCCTTTGTCTGAGTTGTTCTGGTCATAATGGGTTTTTCCCCCTACAACAGGTAAGTCCAGTGCCGTCCACAATGGTGGAATATGGATGGTTATAACGTGCTCTGACAGTATGATACAGAAACAGAGTTGGACCTACACATGAGTTGAGGAGAGCTGGCACTGGTTTGGTTCAGCCGTAATACTAGGTAAAGGTAAAGGTTCCCTTGCTCGAAAGCCAGTCGAGTCGGACTCTAGGGTTGCGGTGCTCATCTCCGTTTCCAAGTCGAAGAGCCAGCGCTGTCCGAAGACGTTTCCGTGGTCATGTGGCCGGCATGACTAAACACCAAAGTGCACGGAACGCTGTTACCTTCCCACCAAAGTGGTACCTATTTATCTACTTGCAATTTCTTGCTTTCGAACTGCTAGGTTGGCAGGAGCGTAATACTAAGCAATGGCTTAAACTGTGGTTAAGCATTTGAAATCGGGATCTGGCTTGTGGATGGTTCCTCAGATCCTCTCTAGTCAGGCAGAGTGGTGCCAAGGGACAAGCTCAGACTGAATCCGGATTAGGTCATACCTGCAGTCAGACATCTAGAGATGTGAAAATATTTTCTCTTTCAGGATGACTGAAATGCTTCCTGAAACGAGGTTTCAGTGACTCAAAATGTAGAGTATGACGGTTCTTCTGCAAGAGTGTCTTTCATCAGGACTCTCCCCCACAGGGAGCTCACAGAGTACTTTGTGCATCCCCTAAAATACCCAGAAAAAGTCTGCAAAGAGAAGCTCTCAGTTTCTTTAATGGGGGGGGGGGGTTGTTTCATAGGGTTTTTCTCTGTGCTGCTTAGCTGATAGCTTCATTTCTGGTTCTTTTCCTAGTCCGTGTTCTGTTTCTAGGAGCAAAACAAACTTGGTAATTGTCGAGGAGGAGGCAGCTCAGAATATTGTTGTTCTCGAAAGAAAAAGTTGATGACTCCCAAGTTTCTGCCTTAGTGAGAATTCCTATGTCTCCTGTAGGCCCTGTTCACACGAGGGGTTTTGTGCCGGGAGAGGGACGGATTGGGGCCGCAGCAAATGGGCGCGATCCAACAGCAACATCTGGGAATCGTGCTGCACCCGTCCCGCCGAAAAAGCACACCAAAAAAGAACCACCTAACCAGGTGGTTCAATCGAAAGGGCCGCGGCAAGTGCGGCAGTGGAATCGCCGGCGTTTCCTTGCGCCAGCGCATCTCCGGCTCCCGGCCGAACTGCACATGATCGAGCATGCGCAGTTCGGCAGCCTCCCCCTCCCACTCGTCTCTTCCTCCCCGGCATCTGATCGTGCCCGGGAGCAACGGCGCACGGCTCACGGGATCCATGGGATCCCGCCCGCAACGTCTCTATTTTGGTGCGTCTCTAATTAGCCGCACTTTCACCGGTGTTTTCCCTGCCGTGTGGAAGGGGCTGTAGACATATACAGCTTCAAGCACGTTATTTGTTTACATGTGACTAGTTTTGCCCACTATTAATATTCTAGAACATATATGATAGCACAGTATTGAAAGGTCAGTGTTTGCAGTGTTTTGAAGTTGGGTATTCATATACGCTACTAGCCATGTGAAGGTTTAATGAGGTTCTTTCTGCACAGATAATGTATTTGCTTTTGTTGACTATGTTCCTTCTTCGGGGGGGGGGCGAAGAGAGAGAAATACTAATAGGGTTAAGCAGGCTTTAAATGCCACTTGCTGGTATTCCTTGATGAAGGCCAAGGACAACCCCAATCAGGTGGTAGCGGAGAAATGAACATCTGAAGTACGAATAAAAGTTATTAGCTTGCGGTCAAGACCACAGCCTTCTGCACATTTAGTGAAAGGTAAAGGTTTCCCTTGCTCGAAAGCCAGTTGAATCCGATTCTAGAGATGCGGTGCTCATCTCCAAGCCAAAGAGCCAGCGCTGTCCGAAGATGTTTCTGTGGTCATGTGGCCGGCATGATTAGACGCTGAGGCGCACGGAACCTTCCCACCAAAGTGGTACCTATTTATCCACTTGCAATTTCTTGCTTTCGAACTGCTAGGCTGGCAGGAGCTGGGGCCAGAGATGGGAGCTCACTCCGTCATGCGGCACTCGGGTCTTGCATTTACTTGGGAGCAAATGGCATGCTTAGGCTCATAAAGAGATGGGCAGTGCAGTCCTGAAGTTACACCCTTCAAAGCCCATCGATTGCAATGGACTCCCCATCGATTGCAATGGACTCCAACGGGGTGCAAGTCTGTTCAGGATTGCAATGTAGAAGTGGCTGCGCTGTTTCCTCTCTACACTTGCGTGGGTCGCAGAGCAGAAACTGCAGCGGAGTTCTCAGTTTTCTAAAGAGAGACTTACTCTAATCAACCTTTTTCTCCCCCAATGGCTTGCAGAGGAAAGCGTTCTGGAGTTTGGGACCCTGGTCAGCACGTCAAACACCTACGACGGATCCGGCATCGTGACGGTCGAGACGGACAAGCCTTTGCTGTGGACGATGGGCATCAAGGAGGGCGCGTAGGAGGCTCCCCCTGCCCAGTTACGGGCAGCCCACCGGGGGAGGGGGTTTTTGGGGGGGGGGGGGGGAGCAGCCAGTTGTAGCCTCAGCATTATCTACACCGCAATCGGCAAGATGCTCATTAATATAGGAATTCAAAATTGCGTGCTTTGAACTGTTTTGGTTTTTTTTTTTAAATGCAGCTTAAATCTGTAGAATGGCAGGGGGCTTTTGGTTTCTGTTTTGAGGCAGCGGTGTACTGGAAAGTATTTTTTAAAATCTGTAAATAGATATTTTTATATACCATGCATTTCTTTTTTTAAAAAAAACCCTGGAGAATGGCTGATGAGCAAGCCGATGCCCGAGACCCCATTCTGTGATCGTTCTTGATAACGGAGCCTCTTTTTTAAACGAAACCTGTCAATGCCTCCACCACTGCTTGGATCTGGTTCAGCACAGCGCAGCCCCTTCGGGAGCCGCGTGAGGCAGGCCAGCATAGAGGGCCACAGAGCCCCCAGACCGCTCGGGGAAGGAGGCTGTGCTGAAGCACAGAACAAAGTCACCCTGGTGTGCTCAGAGTCGCTGGCTCCGACGACAATGAATCCCACCGCTCCACACACACACAGACCCCTTGACCTGGATATGCTGCACAAGTCTGCCTCGCTGGTTCTGTCGAGCTCTCGTCCTGGCATTGAGAGGACTCTGGTATTTAATGCCAGAGTTGGGGAGTGCAGTCCTAGGCAGAGTTACTCCAGGCTAAGCCTTCGGCGATTGTGGCATCAGACTGCACTAGTCTGAGACCCCTGGAGAAAGACGGGGCTGGACCATGCCTTCTGAACATGCCTGGCCTGCAGCGCTTGTGTTAACTGGGGCCGTTCAATTAACTGTAAATTAGGTGGTGGGGGTTGCTCATGGCCAACCCTGCTCTCACATCAGTCCCTAATTTACAGAATTAAATCAATGCTATCGGTGTTCATTATTGTTCTTGCTAGGATGTTGGGTTGTCTGTGCCGTCAGCCACATGAACCCCCGTGACAAACCGTGGACTTAAAGCACTTAACTCAAAATTGCCAAGTTGTTTGAATCGAAGAGCCGGTTTCTAAGAGGGCATTATGCTGACCTGTTTTTACATCTAATAAAGGATCTCTTTTTAAAGGCTGTTGTCGTATACTTTCACTCCAGAAGAAGAGACTGGATTTATACCCTGCCCTTCACTACCCAAAGGAGTCTCAGAGCAGCTTACCATCTTTCCATTCCCCTCCCCACAACAGACACCCTGTGAGGTAGGTGGGGCTAAGAGAGCTCTCCTGAGAACTACCCTTGAGAGAACAGCTCTGAGAGAACTTGTGACTGACCCAAGGTCACACCAGCAGCTGCCTGTGGAGGAGTGGGGACTCAAACCCGGTTCTCCCAGATTAGAGTCTGCACTCCTAACCACTACAGCAAACTGGTTCCAAACCCTGACACCAACCTACAGAAGTCACACAGGGCTGGGATCCTTTTAGGTTTGGAGAGGGATCTAAGCAAAGGAGACTCGAGATCTGCTAAAACCAGGCATCTTTCAGCCAGAAGTAAGCTTGGAGGCTGAGCGGAGGAGGAGGATGCACGTCCCAGAGCTCCCCAGCATCTCCAGCCTTTCAGAAGACAGCCCACGTGGCCCACCTCAAAGCTTTAAGAATCAAAGTTAACACACAGACACAAAGATGCCACACTGGTTTCAGTTTCAAACCCAATTTATATTAGCAGGTAGTAAAAAGATGCCGTTAACAAGGTGAATTATTAAGCCAGGACGCAATGTTTCCTTATGTCACCACGTGCGATACCAAGGAGCAAGTCCTTCCTGTGCATTCAACCACCCCTGTAAAAATAAGACAATACAGTCAAAGCTGTGCGATTCCGCAATGGTATTTTGGTTTCAAGATCTGCACAAAGCCCATTCTGCCGGCTTACTCAGGAAGCACGAACAATAACCTTTGGGTATGGGAAATCCTATGCTGTATTCCAAATGGAAAGCAGAAACCGTTTATATTGTGCAAATAGTCTCTTTATCAGTAAGGGCCTTGTGACCATCTAGAACAAGTCCTTTACAGGCACAACAGACATCCTCACCGTGTCTACCATGTGGCAGTCCGTGTGAGCAGTCCGTCTACACTGATTAAGTGAGCAAACAGGCTCTTTTATTAGCATTACTTCCTCATGTATCAGGAGGCATCTGGGGAATATCGGAAAAGGCTGCATTATTACCAGAAGATGAATGTTATTTATTTATTACATTTATTAATTGCCTAATCCTCACGACCATGGGGCTCTAGGCGATGTGCAACATCCTAAAATCATCAAAACATATAGAAGCCCTATCCCGCATTATACAGGAATTAAGAGCAAGTGGCGAAAAAATCTGCCGTTCCCTCCCATCCGGTCTGTGAGTGCTTCACTCGTACCGGGGGGCGAGGGGGGGGCCTCCACAAGGAACCGGTGCCAGCCGTGATGTCAACCGTCGCTGCCCTCAACCAGACGCCTGGTGGAACATCTCTGCCTTGCAGGCCCTGAGGAATGGCATAAAATCCCGCAGGGCCCTGATGTGATTGGGCAGAGAGTTCCACCCGTTCGAGGCCAAAAAGGCCCTGGTTGAGGACAGCCAGATATCCCCAGGGCCCCAATGCTCCCTCTAAGCTGTGGAGTCTTGTGAGCAGGGCTTCTGTTGTAGAAAAAGCCCCAAGCGAACTCTGTGATATGAACAACATTTGTAAGATTTACATTGCTTTTCTAAAACTTTACAAAAGTGCAACAATTTGTCCAACATTCTAACTTATACAATACTGCAAAAAAGTACACATAGTCCAACATAATGAGTACCCGGTTGTGAACTCATTTCAACTTTATAGTCTTCCTCAGATGTAATCCTATATTTAAAGGAGGCGTCAGCTTCTTAAATCCAGCTCAGCATTGTAAATTCTTAAGTACCTTCATAATATCTTTTGGTTCCATAATAAGTGTTTATTTTTGGAGCGAGCCACTCATCTGTAGGTACAAAAAAGCCTCCTGGATTTTACTGGCCATGCTCTCCACGAACACCAACTTATTTAGGTAGTAGCAATCAAGTCCTTATTATATTTTATCTGGCTAGAGCCTTCATTGTTCTGGCTGGCAAATGCTCAGTACTATTTCACCCGGCTAAAGCCTTCATTTTCTGGCTGGCAAATGCTCTCTACAACTAACTGGATCCAGACACTATAAAGACTATACTAGTTAATACCATGCAGCTGCATGTTGAACATCTGTTTCTTAAAGTAACATGACATTATTGTTTTTTTTTTTTTGGAGCGAGCCACTCATCTGGAGGTACAAAAAAGCCTCCTGGATTTTACTGGCCATGCTCTCCACGAACACCAACTTATTTAGGTAGTAGCAATCAAGTCCTTATTATATTTTATCTGGCTAGAGCCTTCATTATTCTGGCTGGCAAATGCTCAGTACTATTTCACCCGGCTAAAGCCTTCATTTTCTGCCTGGCAAATGCTCTCTACAACTAACTGGATCCAGACACTATAAAGACTATACTAGTTAATACCATGCAGCTGCATGTTGAACATTTGTTTCTTAAAGTAACATGACATTGTTGTAGGCTGAACCTCTGAAAATATATAAACTATTTAATTTCTTATACTGACTCTGATAATTAATATATAAATACTAGTTTATTCACTAGTTGGTGTTTGTGGAGAGCATGGCCAGTAAAAACCAGGAGGCTTTTTTGTACCTACAGAGGATGGGCTTGCTCCAAAAGTAAACTCTCATTATGGAACCAGAAGTCAGTTTTCTAAAAGTTATATTATTACTAAAACTAAATTATTATACGTTTAAAATAACTATTTTCCATGCAGCTGCAGGTGGTTTTATTGATTATGGTTTATTCCAGGATAAACAAGTATTTATATATTAATTATCAGAGTCAGTATAAGAAATTAAATAGTTTATATATTTTCAGAGAGGGGGGGAGTCACTCTCCAGGCCTTCCCTCTGTAGCCACGCACACAGAGGTGTTGGCTGTAGTGGGTGTGGCCAACTCTGAAGCCAGCCGGAACTCCGTTCCTGTGCGTTCCTGCCCAAAAACAGCCCTGCTTGGCAATGTTCCCTCTAAGCTGTGGAGTCTTGTGAGCAAAAGTTCTACTTTGTGAGCTACAGGCATTAAAGTTGTGAGCGAGCAATTTGGCTACTGCATAAATTAGTTTGCTCTGGAGACATGCTTTCTGAGCCAAGACAAATATGTGTGAGCCAGAGGCTAAAAAACTGTGAGCTGGCTCACACTAACTCAGCTTAGAGGGAACACTGCTTGTGAGCAAAAATTCGACTTCGTGAGCTACTGTCACTTAAAGTTGTGAGTGAGCGATTTGGGTACTGCATAAACTAGTTGGCTCTGGAGCCATCCTCCCTGGGCTAAGGCAAAAATGTGTAAGCCGGAGGCTAGAAAACTGTGAGGTAGCTCACATTAACTCAGCTTAGAGGGAACACTGCTGGGGACCACTGGCAAGTTGTTCTGTGAAGAGCACAATGCTCGCAATTGTATTCCCAAAGGAGGAGGTCACCTATGGTCAACAGTCCAGATAGTGAAAAGATCCTACATCACAGTGACACTTCAAGGAACAAGAAGTACGGTTTTCATAAAAAAACAAATCTTAAGCAGTTCATCGCCATTTTTGACGTTTCTCTCACCACACTTACACAATGATGTTGTTGATAGGGATATGAATCAGTTTTACGAAGAAACCAATAAATCCCATTATTGCAAAACCTATTGCTGTCGCCATGGCAATCTTCTGGAATTCTGTAAATTAAAAAAAAAAGTGTTAACATTTAACTGAGCTGGAACATTAAAATGGACAACTATTTGGAAGCAACATGCACTCCAAGTGGATCTGAAGAGCTATAATGAAAGCCACCTGCAGTCAGGAATCCCCGATCAGATATTTCCAGATTTAAGTCACAGTTTACTAGGGAAACAGGGATGTCACATACACCCTTTTAAAGAAGGCGCTGGATTAAGAGGGGACGGGACCAAAAGTCATTCTTTGGGGCTTGCCTATCCTGGACTTAAACTTTATGATGCTGGAATTATCACAATGGAATGGCTCTCTTTCCACTTGGGCAGTCAAGCCAAACACAACTGAAACAATCAGGCTTCTTTTGCATGGGTCCCTTCTGACAATCTGCTCCTTCTCTGAAGGACGACAAGAGATGCGTAGCTAGCAAACTTTTATCTGAATCGACACATAAACTTTGCAAAACTTTTATACCACCCCATGGTCAGGTGTTTGAGCCACAAAGCCTTCATCTTCTACACGGAGATGCACTAAAGGGTTCATTGACACAGAAACCTCTAACAGCACCTTATACCACCCCATGGTCAGGTGTTTGAGCCACAAAGCCTTCATCATCTACATTGCACTAAAGGGTTCCTTGACACAGAAACCTCTGACAGCACCTGGATGAGTTTCCACAGAAAAAGGTTAAGAGGCAGGAAGTGTCAAAAAGGGGAATTAATTTGAATTAATTTATTCACTCGCAAAGTGGTCTGGAGAAGCGAGGCAAAAGGGCAAAGACGCAATGGAGGACCCAAGGGAGGAAAGTGGTCAGTCTTTAGTCTTCAAGGACCCACAGTTCTTCTCTCTCAAGTTACCTCTATTCATGCACAAAACGTCATACACTAGATTCCCACAAAGATCAAAGAAATATGAACTCAGCATGCTGGCTCGGTATTGGATAAGAATGAGTGCTGAAGGTATTTTGCCAAGAAATATCACTGGGTAGAAATGTAGGTCCAAAGAATTTTATATCAGGGGTCAATTTGGATGCTATAAACTGCTAGAACTATGCATTTAAGTATTGTTGAATGAGAACAAATATGTAATATGTATCTCTCTTTGCTGCAGAAAACTACTGTTTAATATCCTTGGGGCTTTTTTCTGTTTGTCCGTTTGTTAAGTTGTCTGTTATGAAAAATCTAATAAAGAGAATTTTTAAAAAAGAATTTTAAAAAAATCAACAGTACAGCATTAGTCTCTCATGAAAAAACTATCGACATTTTCACCCATAGTATTAAAATAGAAGAGATTCAACAAACAAATCTGATACGAACATATTTTCTCCCTCTGTGCACAGATGACTGATTTCTGGTGCTTAGTTTAGGATGTCAGTGCCCCATACAATCTTTTCCTCTTACCTTTCCGGTCTGGCTTTGTGCATCTTTTAACAAGCCGGATGGAATCTTTCACAAACTGCCGGCTGGGCTCCACAAACTGCATTACTTGATCCATGGTTAACTACCAGGACAAAACAGATATACCACCTTGTAATGTACAGCTGGTGCAGAACTTCCCACAAAGTGTCTTCAATACAAATTAGGTAGGAAGACATTTTTTTTAACAGAACGAACAAGTTCATCAGGAGATTAGACTGAGTTGGTGGAAGAAAAAGCTAATCAAAATCCTGATATTAAAAACACTTGGGCTATCATTTCAAAAACAACAGAACAAAGTTCGAGTCCAGCAGCACCTTGAAGACCAACAAAGTTTTATTCAAGGTATGATCTTTTGTGCAAGGACACTTCTTCAGATACAATGAAATGGAAATTACCAGTTCATACATATAGCAATAAATTAGCATACAGCATAATGAAGATGTTTAACAGGGTTTCCCTTTGCAGAGATCCTGTTCCTCTACCCTCAACCTCTACCAATTATTTTTAGAGGCTTCCAACATTCTCCTCTAATGCTAGTTGATGCCTTGAGTTTGCAGTGCTCCATGGCAGGGCATTTTTGCATGAAGGCATGTTGTGCCAGGAATTTCACCCTTGCTGATGTCAGAAAGAAACTACCTCTTCCCTCATCACCAGTTATGACTGGGAGGCTCCCACTACTGCCCCCCCCCCCATCACCTTCCTTTTAAGAAGAGAGTCCATAACCCTTCAACAAAGATGCAGCACTATTATATTTTGGGGGAGGAGGATGCATCCCTTTAAACACATAAAACCAGAAAAATTATATAAAAACAGCAGCCGTGATGCCCAATGCAGAGGGTGTGAAACTGTGGGCTGGGAGCCCAAAAGGGGTTGCAGGGTGGAGCCTGGGGAGGACAGGGTTTGAGGAGGGAAGGGACTCTGGTGGGGTATAATGCCACGGGGTCCACCTTCCAAATAGGGTTGCCAGCTCCAGGTTGGGAAATACCTGGAGATTTGGGGAGTGG